TCAGTTACAAAACAAATTAAGAGAGGTTAAAAAAATTATACAAGAGTTGAAAGAATAACATAAATCAGAATTAGAAAAATTCAGAAATGAAATAACAATTTGAGAATGATTAGAAATAAAATAATAAAAATAATTTTAGAAATGAAGACTAGAGTAACAAAAAATACATTAAATAAAGGAGAAAAGATGGAAATTTTTTCAATGTAAAAACAGATAAAAAGAGTTCAAAAGAAAGCTATAAACATAAGCAAAGAAGATCCAACACATAGATAAGAGTCTCTGAAGAAGATATCAGAGCAAAGAAACAAATACTAAAATTACAGCTAAGAAATTCTTGCTGAAATAATTGAAAATGAGTATTCAAAGAATAAACTTTATACCTGAAAATATTGACCTAGAATGTCCAGGATAAGACACATTCTGGTAAAAATTACTGACCTTTAAAGAAAGAGAGAAAAATCCTTTGGAATCTAGACAACATTAGCATATTATGTGTTAAGAGAAAGAAAATTACATTATCCTTAGACTTTCATAGTGATGATATATGCTAGAGGAAAATGGACAGACATATTAAAGATCTTCAGAGAAAGAAAATGTGAGCCAAGGATTTTATATCCAGAAAAACTGACCCTCAGAAATGTAAAAGATAAAGGCAGTGATTGGCATGCAAGAATTCAGGGAATATCGGTGGGTAGAGTCTAGGTCAGTGGTAGGGTGCGTGCTTCAGAGTACGTGGGTTCAGTTCCCAGTACTTCCATTAAAAGAATAAATAAATAAATAAACCTAACCCTCTCCCTGAAAAAAGAGTTTAGGGACTATTTATTGTCCCCCTGACCGCTCATAAGAAATCTACTAAAAATTTTGTTTCAGCGAGCCCTTCCTAGGATTCCACTAAAGAATGACTTTGGACAACCAAAATGACTAGGAAGGCATCTACATAGGACTGGTGGTGAACATTAAGCAGTTATTAAATGAGGGCTGAAAGGGAACATATTACTGTGTAATGATTGTATGATTTGACAATGTAGACTTAACATAACTATAAAACAAATGTAGAGGAAGGGGGTAGCATTTACAAAACCAAACCAAATCCAGAACCCCAAGCCAGAACAATAAAACGATTTAGACAAGTGTTTCAGTAAATCATAATTGGTGGCAGTATTGGTAATCTGAGACTGACGTCTTAAAAGCCCCTTTTCTCTCTCTCACACGTGGCAGCTATCCCAGTTCTCAACTCTAAAACCATCTGCACTTCACTTTATTCTTTTTCCTGATCTTCCTGTTCTCTTCGTTCTTTCAGCTGTTATTCTGTTGATGTTATACCTTGTGGCGTTTTCCATGTTTACATGTATACACTTGTAAAATGGGCAGATCCTGAATTTCTTTTTGTGCCTTTTTAAGTTTTGTCAGATGAGATCAAGGTGGAGGATGAATTAAGGTATCTGGAGTCACTGTGGTTCTCTTTGAGAGTTCTTTGGTAGAACAAGTAGCTTTTCCTCAAGGAGGGAGCAGCAAGGCTCTGGGCTTTCCTGAAGCTGACTGAATCTTGTGCACAGGAGCTTACTCTCCTTGATACTTCACTGCTACCAAATCAGGCCTTGCCCCTCAAAGAAGTAGCAAAGAGGGTCGCTGATGAGAGTGAAGTTAAAAAGCAGAATGATAGAACACAGAAGCAGCCAGCCTTCTGTGGCACTGAAGAGATGAGATGACATGTTTGTAGAAGGGAGTCAGAGTGCTCTTCAAATGTAGTTATTGTTACTAGTAATTTGGTAGATAGATGCCCTGTGCCTTAGTACAGTGTACACTGGAAACGATCTCCACATTACCCCTACTTTTTACTAGGGTAGTGGTATTTCCTAGTCTTGATTTATGTGTATTCCTCAATTTTTTATCATATTCCTTCATTTTTCTACTATAAAGTCTTCAAATTTAAAAAGATACAATTTTCAATTGATAATACACTCTCCCCTAAAATAGCCGCACTTTAATCTTGATCACAATAGTTGACAAATCATTTAGAATGTTTGTTTTATTTACTAATATGGTCAAAGGACAGGAAAGGAAATCAACACAAGAAGATATGCGACAAGCAAATACAGAACAGCAGAAGAACAGTCATTTCCATGAATGATTTTTGAAATGAGAATTAAAATAATGATTATATTGGTTATAAAAATTCCTAAATAATTATTTTGAATGAATGAAGTACCAGTTAATGTCTAATAAATGAAAGAAATTAAAAGAATGGTAATATCCACCAAGAATGAGAATGTGGTGAAATACATTGGCAATGATAATGTGTCTTTTGTTTGATTGCTTTTTACCAAATGAAAATATCTTTCTTTTTTTCTTTTTTTTTTGATTATAGAAATAAATATTCACATAGAAAATTGAACAAGGCAGAACTTTATAAAAGGAAAAATTAAAATGATCCCGTATCTCTCCATTCGGAGGAAACTACTGATGACATTTTGGTACATATCTTTTAAAACAGCTTTCTCCAAAGATAAGCACAATGTTAAACTACAGTAATAGTATACATGCTCCTCTGCAACCTGCACATGGAGGTACCGTGTTTGATTTAACTAACCATGTAAGTGATGGGCTCTTAGCTTCTTTGCGTTTGCTAGCTATAATAAACAACTCTAAGATAAATGTCCTTGAATGTAAACTCATCCACACTTGATAAAGTACATCCTGGAAGAAATTACATTATGAGTAGGTTGTCAAACAAAGAGTATGTAGGTTTTACATTTTGGACCATGCCATCCACTGTTTTCTCACACCCTCTCCCACATTTGATATTGTCAATAAATATTTTAAAAAAATTAACACTGAGACGTAAGAAGTTTGATCTCATTGTTTTATCATACATTTCTTTATTTCAGAGATTCATTATTTTTTCGCTTCTTTTTTTGCCATCAGCATTTTTCTAGTTGCCAGTTATCTATTAATCCGTCTTACTAAATCTTCAGTAGAACTGCTTGCTCCTTATTTTTTACAGCTAACTGTATATTAGGGATATCAAGTCTTTGCTGTGTATGTAGAAAGTATTTCCTAGTTTATCATTGCGTTTTAATTTGATTTAAAGTATTTAAAGTTTTTTTACCATATGTAGGTTTTAAAATTTTGAATAATTACCAATACTTGCCAGATTTTGTTGCATGCTTAAAAAGACATTCTCCACCCATATTTAAAACAGAGGATAGGGAAAGGATGAAGAAAAGTGGATATATGGACAGGCATTTTACATTTTATAAAAGTAGAGGAGAGATCTACTCAATTTATATTCTAATCAAATCACAACAAAACAAACAACAATAAAACAATACATTCTGAGCCTATCTGGTTAAGGAGACTTGAACCTATTCTGGGGTAGTATGCAATCACTACGTGGAGAAGTGCTTTTAGTGATTTAACAAATATTTAATAAATTCCAGGTATGGGGCTAGGTTTTGATTCAGAGAAAAAAATATATTGATTCCAAAAATAAAGTAGAATTGTCCCTGCCCACAAAAAGCCCATGAACTGTAATAGTCGTGTATGTGCCAGAGACCAGAGAAGGCCAGAGCCCTCCTTCCTTCTTGCTTATTCTGCTTCTTAACCATAAAATAAGTAACTGGTAAATGCTGGAAATCCTAATTTCTTTTAAAAAACACGGATTTTGATTTTAAAAATTGTTTAAAAGAGCTCCAAACTTCCTTCCTGTGCATCTGTATTCACAGCTACCTCCCTGTAAGGAGACAGTTACGCCTTTGAGTCACTGACTGGGCTGTAATAGCCAAACCTATAATCATGTTTTGTGGCAGGAAAATGTTTTCAAAATGTCTGCACTATTTAACCAGCCTAGGTGTTCTGTGAAAAATATTTGTGAATGCTTCCATCAGGAGGTGCTCACTTAATTGAAATAATGGATGAAAATATTTGAAAATATTTGGCTAGTTTAACTCTGCGTTTGTGTATGTGTGTGTTTGAATGTGCATATGCTCAACTGTAACAGTAGAATTTTATATATAATTACGTTTTTAAGTTAATACACTTACTGTATTTACTATTCAGGGAGAATGAAAAACATTAAGAGTAGAAACTGAGGTCTACTTTATATTGAGAAAAATAATACTAGTCCCTTATTGTTTAGGATTTTTAGAAATTATTTCCTCTTTATTGTTTAGTCTTCACAAAAGCCTGTGAAGTAAGTATCAATATTTTTATTTTACATACTGAAACAGTGGGACTGAGAATGATGAGGTGACTGAAGTTCCTCAGATGAAAGCAAAACTGCAAGTTTCACTGCTCTTTCCACCACACTGCAGCTACTCCAGTGCTAAAGGCCTTTCTACCCTGTAAAAAGAGGACCTGAGAGTTAATTTCCAAAGATCTGTGGATGACTCTGATGAGACCCTAGCCACTCACCATGGCTTCTGCTTGCAGAAACTAAGCTCCCTCTTTGTCCTGCTTGACTTAGCTCATTGTTGTAGGGAGAACGTGCTTCGGAGTCAAATATCTGGGTTTGAATTCCATTTCTGCCATTTATTAGCTTTGCATATTTGGACCTAGACTATTTTCCTCATCTTCACCTAGGAACATTGGCAGTGATGATACTTACAGGGGAGAGTTGTTGAAATATCTTTGGCACACAGTAGGTATTCAAGAATCATTCAGAAAGACATTACCTGATCTCTCCTGGGATTGGTGTCAAAACTTACAAAATGATTTGGGAAATTCAAGAATTATAAGAGATGGAACCTGTTCATAAATGCAAGAGACAATAGTCAGTGTTGAGCCCTGTGTTAACCCACGTGCAGAGAATTGACTTTTGGCCATGATTACATTCATCTCTTATCTCTGACCCTCATATAGACATATGTCCCAGGAGGCATTATATTAAGAAGATAAAAATGGGGGAGCCTTGGAAACAGAGAGATGTGGGAATGGCTGAATTGTTTTAGAGTGCTCTAAATGGATTTTCCTAATTCTTTTTTTTTTTTCACCCTTTATAGCTGATGGTGTCTGTGTCTTCAAATGCTCACTCAACAGAGACACTGAATGTTGCCGTGTAGGGAAGGAGTCCATCTTAATTACTCTGGGCTACAGCAGTGCTTTACTGAAGTTTGAGTCTCATGCAGGTAAGTTTTGTACTTGTCCCAACCCTTTGGCTTTTCCAAAGGCAAGTCTTCTGATTGGTTGGCTTTCAGCAACATGTTTTGTGATAGGAGTTGCCATCAGTTGAAAAAATGATTTAAAACTGGTTCTGGTGCTTACGTGAAGCCATGACTAGAGAACAGTCAGCCTTTTCCTAGATCATGAGAACATTTGTATTCTTGGCTCCCGGTTTTGTTCTCCTTCATCCAAAGCTGCAGAAGAGGACACCAAGGATTATCCAGATCTTCACCACTGTTGTTGATTTTCTTTGAAGATGAAGTTGTTAGCTGAAATGTGATTTTTCAGTTTGAATGTCAATGATTTCATTCTTTTTTTGTGTTTGAATCATTTGTTCAGCGCTCTTAGACTCTGGACAACAAATGTCTAGCAACAGGTAAACTAAAATACAACTAGAAGTATTCTAAGAGAAGACTCAGAGGCACCCTGAAAGAATTCCAGCCACTAGTAGGTGGGGCTGGTCACAAGGCTGTGGGCTGCAGGATCCGGATGTCCCAGAGCTGGTATTGGCCTGCTGATGAGTGGGGCTGCGTCCTGGGGCATCTGGCTCAGGGGTGAAAGATGGCCTGGAGCTTGTATCGGTCTGCTGGTGGGGGGACTGGAGCCCAGAGGGTCCCAGGGCTAGTGCTGGCTCATCAGCGGGGGAACCAGTTTCCTGGCTTTCTGGCTGCAGGGACTTGGGGGTCCCAGAGTTGGTATGTCAGCCTGCTAGACAGGGCCAGGGCCCAGGGTCTCTGTCTGCAGGGCCCTGGGGGTCCCAGGGATAGTGCTAGCCCACCGGTGTGTGGAGCTAGGCCCCTAGCCCTGGCCCTTCTTGTAGTCAGGGCCAGGCCCCTGGGCAGCTCTGGGCTCAAGGGGTCTGGGACTCCTGAAAATAAGCCCTGCTGGCCTGCAAAGTCATACGTTCTGGGGGCTTATCTTCCTGGTGCAGAAACCCCCGGGCTGGAGAGCACAATGTGTGGCTCAGACTACCCACTCTTTGGGGAGAACCTCTGTAACATAATTACCTGTCTTCTATACGTCGCCCACCCTGGGGTCTGGGTCTTGTGTAAACTGCGTCTTCATCTCTCCTACCTGGCCCGTTGTAGTTCCTTCTTTATGTCTTTATTTGTAGAAGATACTCATTTTCATTATCATGCACAGTGAGGCTACTTCCAGGTTTTGGCTATGATGAATATACTTGTACCACATATTTTTTTCACTTCTCTTTGATCAACATCTTGGAGTAAAATTGCTGGGTCATAAAATAAGTGTATGCTTAGTTTTATAAGAAAAAGCCAGAATTTTTTCCAAAGTAGTTTTACCATTTTACACTCCCACCAATAATGGGTGAGAGCTCTGACTGCTCCACATCTCTACCCACATTTGGTCTTTCAGTCTTTTTAATTTTTTTCATTCTGATGGGTATGTAGTTGTATCTCATTGTGGTTTTAAGTCACATTTTCCTGATGCCTAATGATGTTAAGCAGTTTTTCACATGGTTATGAATTAAAATTATTTGCCTGTTACTAACTGGTTATTTATCTGTGGAGTTGCTGTTCTTTATATATCCAGGATACCAGGCATGTATCAGATACATAATTAATGCGTGTTATCTCCTAGTCTGTAGCTTGCTTATTTATTTCTGTAATGATGTCTTATGTTGAGCAGAAGTTTTAAATTTTAATAAAGTCCAGGTGATCATTCTTTTTTGTTTAATGCATTCTGTGTCCTAAGAGTCTTTTGCCTCAACTATTGAATGATTTCTATTATATTTCCTTTTAGAAGTTTTATAGCTTCAGATTTTGTATTTTAGGAATATAATCAATCTTAATTTTTATTTGGCATAAGGCATTGGGCCAAAAATTATTTTTAGACCATAGGGATATCCATTTATTCTAGCTCTGTTTGTTGAAAAGACTTTTGCAAGTCAAGTGATTATATATAGACTTGGTCTCTTTCAGAGCTGTCTGTTCTGTTCTTTCGATTATCCTTGTACCAATATCACATTGTCTGGATTACCTTTCAGGTGACACTTGAAGTCAGGTGGTTTAAGTCCTCCAACTTTGTTCTTTGTCAAGATTGTTCTAGATGTTTTTGGTCCTTTGCATTTCTATATGCGTTTTATAATTAAGTTGTCAGTTCTACAAAAGTGCTTGGTCTGAGTATGATTGAGATTGATCAGTTTGGTGAGAATTGTCATTTTAACAATATTAATTGAATTTTAACTGATTTGCAAACTTAATACGTTAGATTGCCACCATTTCATGAATGCTGACAGAAGACACAAGACTCCTGGCGCAGAGATAAAAGACTATTTTAGATTCTCAGAAAAGAGCAGTAGCCAAAGTGTCAGCACATTGTCTCCAAGTTCTCTGAGCCCCAGCTCTTCCAGGCTTGTGTCTCTCAGGAAGATAAGGTGGGTGCCTGCCCATGTATGGGATGCGTTGCAAGAGAGGAACACTGAGCCCGGGGAACCTACCGTTTAACAGCAGGCAGTAAGCAGGCTTGCTCTTTGTCCCAGAGGAAGATAGTATTTCATACCTCATGGTTGCTTGCTGTGTACCCCACCCTGAGAACTAGCACAGGTGGAGAGTGGTCAGTGCCAGTAGGCCTGGCATTCTTAGCTTACCCGGTGAGGCATAGTTGAGTCCCATCAAGAGACACTTGGAGGAGTGTTTCCCAGCACTTTTTCCTCTTCAAGAAGGAGGGAGATTTTCTCATTTACAAACTCCAGAGAATGATAGCATAGGAAACTTCATTCATAGGTCAAATGAAATCAGACACAAACACATATTTGAACAACTTTTGCAAGAAAGACGTTTAGGGACAAGGCATTTTAGAATTTCTTCTTCAGCTAAGAAAAAAAATAATATTAATAGTGTACGATGTTCTCTAGGCAACCCTCTTAACAAGGCAATAGGGATAAGTCTTGGTAAACTGTAGACCTAGTTATAGGTAAGTAGATGCTTCAGTCATTTAAGGTATCTCCAAAACTGTAGACAGACAATACCGAATGAGGACGAATACCAGTCTCTCTGTGCTTTTCATTTGTTAAAGGGGACCAGATGTCCATTAGACAGAACTAACCCAAATAGGCTAGAGGCAGAAATAAAATCAGATATGCAGATAGCAATGAACAAGAAATCATTTAGAAACAGACTCTGGGTGAGGGCACAGTTACTTCATTAGTGCAGTTAGACTCACCCCAGCAGTCAAGGAAGACAGGTCTGGACCCAAGGGGCTTATAAGGTGCACTTCTCAGACAGTGCAGCTTAAAAAGCTCTGTGTGATCATCTTGGTGGCTCCCTGTTAAAAGTCTAACAAGAAAAACTTAATAAACATTTTTGGAGTGCAGGGTGGAGTTCTATCCTTAACAATAAAACATATATGAGGAAGTCCTGCTTTCATAGCAGCTGACTCCCAGATAAAGGCTATATTTGTATGTCAAATATGACAGCCTGTAATTCTTTTGTGTGTGTGACGTTTTATTTTATTTTTAACTGTGGCAAAATATGCATAATTTAAAATTTACCATCTTAACCTCTTTTAGGTGTACAAGTCAGTGGCATTAAGTACAATCACATTGTTGTACAACTATCACCATCATCTGTCTCCATAACTCTTTATCATCTTGCAAAACTGAAACTCTGTCTCCGTTAAATAATAGCTCCTCATTCCCTCCTTCCCCACCAGCCCTGATTCTTCTTTCTGTTTCTGTGAATTTGAGTACTCTAGGGTACCTTATATAAATGAAGTTCTGCAGTATTTGTCATTTTGTGACTGACTTATTGCAATTAGCATAATGTCCTCAAGTTTCATCAATGTTATAGCATATCAATTCTTTCCTTTTTAAGGGTGAATAATATTTCATTGTAGGCACATAACACAACTCATCTATCCATTCTTCCTCAGTGGACACCTGGGTTACTTCTACCTTCTGGCCACCATGAATAATGCTGCTCTGGACATGAGTGTGAGACTTTTTTGATGGGGGAACTCTCTATTGGTTTTGGCTCTGTAGAGGTGCCCAGGAATGAAGAACATGTATTTTTCACATGAAAATGTGCATCATTAATTTCTGCACAGCATCATTAACTTATGTTGCACACTTAAGACTGATTTTCTCTTATTAACTTGAGATTTCTTTTTCTCTGGCAGACTTTTTTCTTCAAAGTACAAATTTTACTGTTATTCCCAGTAATAACATGTATCAAACACAAAGCATTTAAAAATATCTATCATCTCAATTCAATCCAGTCAGTATTTATTGATCACTACCTGTATGCCAAGTGAGTTGCTCTGGATGAAAGACAGCCTTGGACTCTCAGAGAGCTTAGGCTTAGAGAGGGGAGCAGGTTCGTGAGCAGGCAGTATGGTGCAGTATGAGAAGCTCTGCAGTAGTCCCTTAGTGCTGTGGGGACATTAGTCAGGGCACCTACCTCAGCCTTGAGGGTAAGGGAAGGCTTCTCATGAAAGAGACTGTTCAAACACTGTAAGAATGAGGTTTAGAAGAGCACACTGGGTGACAAGATTTAGGGAGAATATATAGAGTGAGGAAAACCAAAGACCTAAAGGGGAACCTTAAGGAACCACTGACAGTTAAGGGCAGAGAACAAGAAGTGTGGAAATGAGCTGGAAAGAAGCAGCCAGAAAGACAGGAGACAACCAGATGAGAGCAGTATTGTGGAAATCAAAAACACACTTCAGACAGGAGGGAGGTTATCCAGGTCTCTCTACAGAGAGATTGAATGGGAGAAGACTGAAAGGTATGGGTTAGATTGAACAGAAGGGCCATTAATAAACTTGACTAGGAAAGTTTCTGTGGCAAGATTTAGGATAAGATTGGGGCGCTGGCTCAGAGCCATTGATTTCTGGGTGAGGGCTACAGACCAAAGATTATCATTTTTCTCCTCTCTGCCAAGACCTCAATAAAATAACAAACCCAGCAAAAGTGAAGAGAATGAAGAGAGGACCATCAGGAAGT